AATAAAAGGACTGTACTTAAGAAGTATTTGTATTTCATGAATTATATTCTTACATTTTGCATTATTTGATGAGGTCACCTCCTAAATGTCCTCACAGAAAATCTAACTGCTCATTTTAAATAAATACTTTTACTTTTAATACTTAACTACAAACAAAATCAGATGCTTTAAGACTTTTACTTAATATTCCTAAAGGAGAGTTTAACTTTTACCAAATTAATTTTTTGGTAAGATACTTGTACTTTTACTCAAGTATAACTGTGTGGTACTTTATAAACACTGATTAAATGATCTTTTGAATCATGGTTTTTGAGCATGTAGATGTGGTTTAAAACAGGCCTTTTAGACTTGAACTCTTTTATTAACATTAAAAAACCTGTTTCCTCTCCTGCAGCACCACCCATCTGATCTMCACATCATTCATTCATTTATTTATTTATTATTTATTTACACCTGCATCTGACTGTTTTCTGAAACATTTAGTTTGTCAGTTTGTCTGTCCGTGACTTCGTCAGGACCCAGACTTTAATTTGAGTTTATGTTTCCTTCAGATTGTGTCTCAAACAGCAGAAAACTTTAATTAAATCAGTTTAAAGTGAACTTCAGCAGTGATGCAACAACGCTGCTGCTGCTAGCTTAGCCTGCTCCCCTRAAGGAAACAAACCTTCACTTTCAGTCGATTTTCTCTTATTTTATTACAGTTCGGTGATAAAAGCCGTGTGCTGATCGTGTTTCAGGCAGAACCGGGTCACCGGACCAGGTTAGCGGACTGTCAGAGTTCACCTGCCGTTAATAATTAGCATGAGTTAGCCGCTCGGTTCGGTTCTGACAGCCCGCTCAGACCCACCGGAACGCCCGTGTTTAACACTGAAATCCAGGCTCGTATTACTAAATATAAAAMATTAAAACAAGAAACACGTTTTACTCTGGAAAAAGTCTTATTGCTCCGTGTTTTCAGGTAAAAAAAAAAAACAACGTTTTTTGCTAGCTGTACTCACCTCGAGCTCTTCGGTGTGACCGCCTGGGAACCAGTGAGGACGGTCACGTGACCAGCTGCTGGACAAACACCGCCTTTCTCCTGCGCCGATTGGTCAGCGCAGGCGTCCGTTTGACGCATCCGGTCAAGCGTCGGTTTTTGATTGGTGAATTCGACGCGGGCCCGCCCCCCTCGGAGCTGCACCTCGTGGACGGCGCTGATTGGCCGTGCGGTCACGGAAGGTGCGCTCTGATTGGCTGTAGTAAATCTTATCAGAGGAAGTGTCGGCAGAGATTAAAGMTTTAAAATAATGACTCAAAATGCAGCCGAGTCATAGTTTGTTGACTTGATTGAACATTTTTGATTTAATTAAAAACATCTGGTCTGACTGTGGTGAAAAACAATAAAATATTAATTAAATTGGAGCCGGATAACATTTATTTGAGCTTTAATG